CTCTCCAGTTTTCATCAAATTCGGTGGATTGGCCATTTCAAAAAATTGTTCAGAATTTTCCAGAATATTACAAGGGCTGTGCTAAAAGTAATGCAAACGTGCAAGTAATGCAAACGAGCATTTTTTATTAACTTACATAGGTCATTCAGATTTCACATGTTGGTAGAGTAGCCTTCCTCTATTGTAGCTCTTCTTTTTCATTGGAGGTAAATAATGGATTCCAAGCAGAAGCAACATGCTGCCATTGAGTTATTGATGAAGGAAGAGTGCAGGCTGCCTTACATCCATGGAAGGCTACAGAATGTTTATGGAGATGATTTCATTGACAAGAGCAATGTGCACAGATGGATGAAGATGTTTAAAGAAGCAAAAACCAGCATTGAGGACAAACCACGCAGTGGAAGATCATCAATGTTGGACAGTCCACACACCCCTCCTTTGTCAAGAACCCAATGACGGCACATTGCTTCTGCTTGTAATACATTTTTTACCTCCAATGAAAAAGAAAAAAAACAGTTACTAATAGAGCAGTGGTCTCCAAATTGCAGCCCTGGGGCCAAATATAGCCCTTTACTTGCTTTTATCTGGCCCTTGGGACACTATTTCTCCCACTAATACCAAGGATGGGGCACTATTTCTCCCAATGACAACAATGAGCAGGCACTATTCTTCTCACTGATACCAATGATGGAGCACTATTCTTCCCACTGATACCAATGATGGGGCACTATTCTTCCCACTGATACCAATGATGGAGCACTATTCCTCCCACTGACACCAATGATGGAGCACTATTCTTCCCACTGATACCAATGATGGGGCACTATTCTTCCCACTGACACCAATGATGGGGCACTATTCCTCCCACTGACACCAATGATGGGGCACTATTCCTCCCACTGATACCAATGATGGAGCACTATTCCTCCCACTGATACCAATGATGGGGCACTATTCCTCCCCACTGACACCAATGATGGGGCACTATTCATCCCACTAATACCAAGGATGGGGCACTATTCCTCCCACTGATACCAATGATGGGGCACTATTCATCCCACTAATACCAAGGATGGGGCACTATTCCTCCCACTGATACCAATGATGGGGCACTATTCCTCCCACTGACACCAATGATGGGGCACTATTCATCCCACTAATACCAAGGATGGGGCACTATTCCTCCCACTGATACCAATGATGGAGCACTATTCCTCCCACTGATACCAATGATGGGGCACTATTCCTCCCACTGACACCAATGATGGGGCACTATTCATCCCACTAATACCAAGGATGGGGCACTATTCCTTCCAATGACAACGATCAGGCACTATTCTTATTACTAATACCAATAGGGCACTATTCCTCCCACTGACACCTCCAATGGGGCACTATCAATTATAGGTGTGATGGACTCCAACATCTGGGTATCAACTCCAAGATGCTGCTTCCGAAGCAGTAACTATAGCTGCAGCTACCCCAAAGGATTGGCAACACCAGTTTTTTTGGCAGAAATAAGAAGAACTGCTTCAGTAAAGAAAAACACTGAATTTATACAGAAAACCATCAGATAACAGCTAATCACATTATCACAGACAATACCCACCTTAGACAGTCCGGCACACACACAGGAATACATTATACATAGGAAGCCATATGTTACAATGTTAGCTCTTTTTTGGGGTGACCCTGGCAATCCAGGGATACCGTTTGATAGTTCTGGACCTCCAGATGGTATGATCCAAAAAGCGACATGTTCCGTGGACGGGGCAGGAGTGACAGCTGGTTAAAGGTACCTGGGTGCCATTCGTAGAGTAACTGTAGCTGTGGTTACAAAACCCTGGTAAGAGATATAACACTGAAATGTAAAGGTTCCCTCTCAGTAACCACGGTGGCCCATGTCGCACCAAAAGGAGAACATAGTCCCAAAAGAGCAATGTAGTAGGACACTGGGCCTTCAAAGCAACTCCTAGTAAAGTTAGCGGATAGTCCTACTGGTCCTAGCCACTACAGTTCCATGCGAATGTTGCTAGGACCTGGTAAAGTGCTGATAGGGTTCCCCGGCTAGATGCAAGTACACATGGGCATAAAAGTCAACTAGTGACCAACTCCTTCTGGATAACTTCAAAACACAATAAAACACAGAATTATCTGGGCAATGGTTCTCCTGCAGCCCCAAGTTCATGACAATGGGGCACTGTTCCTCCCACTGACACCAATGATGGGGCACTATTCCTCCCAATGACACCAATGATGGGGCACTATTCCTCCCAATGACACCAATGATGGGGTACTATTCCTTCCACTGACACCAATGATGGGGTACTATTCCTCCCAATGACACCAATGATGGGGCACTATTCCTCCCACTGACACCAATGATGGGAAACTATTCCTCCCACTGACACCAATGATGGGGCACTATTCCTCCCACTGATACCAATGATGGGGCACTATTCCTCCCACTGACACCAATGATGGGGCACTATTCCTCCCACTGACACCAATGATGGGACACTATTCCTCCCACTGATACCAATGATGGGGTACTATTCCTCCCACTGACACCAATGATGGGACACTATTCCTCCCACTGACACCAATGATGGGGCACTATTCCTTCCACTGACACCAATGATTGTTTACTTCCACTGACGCCAGGACATTTTTCTTCTCACGCTGGGAACAGTCCTACCCCCCTTAAGTTTGAAAGACAGTAAACTGGCCCTTTGTTTTAGAAAGTCTTGAGACCCCCCTGCTATAGAGTAAGAGTTCCTCTACTAACATGTGACATTATTATTATTATACAAAATTTATATAGCGCCAATAGTTTGCTCAGCGCTTTTACAATATAAAGGGAGACAATACAGCAACAATACAGTTCAATACAAGAGGGTTAGGAGGGCCTGATCCTTGGAGCTTACAATCTAACAATCAAACATTTATTATTATTATATTATACAGGATTTCTATAGCGTCAACAGTTTGCTCAGCGCTTTACAATAAAACGGGAGACAATACAGCAACAATACAGTTCAATACAAGAGGGATAGGAGGGTCCTGCTCCTTGGAGCTTACAATCTAGGAGGGAGGGGCTAGTGGTACAAAAGGTAATAATTGTGAGGGATGGACTGGTAGGAAGAGTAGAAGATTCCATTATTAGCTGAGGGCAGGATAGGCTTCCCTGAAGAGATATAGGTTTTCAGAGATTGCCTAAAAGTGAGCAGAGTAGGTGATAGTCTGATAAATTGGGGTAGAGAGCTCCAGAGGATGGCGGAAGCTCTGGATAAGTCCTGGAGACGAGCATGAGAGGAGGAGACAAGGGAGCTAGAGAGCAGGAGATCATGTGAGGAGCGAAGAGTACAGTTTGGGTGAGATTTGGAGACAAGATCGGTGATGTAATTTGGGGCAGAGTTATAAATGGCTTTATATGTGATTGTTAATGTTTTGAATTTTATCCGTTGGGCAACAGGAAGCCATTAAACAACCTATGCAAGTTAATTAAAAAGCTATGCCCACTTTAGCATTACTTTAAATTTCATATATGCACACACATAAAAAATACTGTGTGTCTTTATTACTAAAGATGAACAGAAACAAAAAAAAGTTATCATTTTAAGGCAGAGGAAAAGAGTAACATCCAGAATGATATCTCCCGAGAGTCACGGAGATCCGGACACACTCTGATGGTCAGCCTTCGTCCCCACAGTAAAGCACTGTTACACACTGTGGCTCAGGGATACAAATTTGCACTTAGAGACACAGCGACTGGCACAGGTCTGGGACTGTTCCAAACGACAGACTCTCTTGTGACCCCCGGTGACCTGCAATCCTTCTGCCCAAGGATTTATCTTCTGTGTCAGATTTATTCCTTGCACATCCCATGCACTCTACAAGGGCTGTGTGTATGTGTGTTACCTTCTATGCTCACCCCTAATTCTGCAAGCCTTCCGTCCTCAGGGCCAACCCCAAATCCCACAGAGAACAGTAAACACCAAGGAAAACAGTGGGACCCAATGTGGACTCTCAGACAGTGCGGCCACCAGTCCTTTCCGGGCTAAAGGGCTGTGAGGCGCACGCTCCCATGAAAGAGGAGCTATGAATAGCCAGGTGAGCAGCGTGTGGCTTAATGAAGCCACACTGCCAGCATTAATTCCAGATTCCCCTACATGACTCGGGCTTTTCATCTGCTGCTCATTTTGGAAATCAAATGCCGCACAAGGGCAGCAACAGCACAAACCGCAGGGAGATAGGGGGACGGGCGGGCGTCAGACAGTCCTTCTGCGCAATGGCACCATTTTATAGAACAGCAGAGAGTTCTATTTAGCAGTATTGACCTTTGAAAGTTATTAGCTCAAAAAAAAAAAAAAAAAGTCTATGGATAGCCATTAATTTCAGCAAGCCAAATACCTACATGATGTTCTGCTTATATAACAACTTAAAGTGGAAGTAAAGGCAAACAGCCACATTACATCTAAATGATCTGAAATATCTAACATGCCAAGAAAAATCTGTCATTTTGTTTAGACTGTTTTCTAATCCGGACATCGCTGTCAGATTGTGACCCCCACTTTTCTCAACTGCAGTTAAAGAAACAGTTAGGTCAAGGACCGCCCCTGTCTGTCATTGGCTAGTAAAGGAGCGACATTGACTGGTCAACCATGAGCACTGCCCTCCTATCAGCCAGCTTAATGCAAGGTGTAGTAAAGCCTAATAGGCTTCCAATGCGGCCTTTTTCCTCTCCCAGTCTGAATTCTGCTGTACGGGGAACTACAAGAGCCCAAGCAACAGCTTTTCTTTAATATCAGACCCCCAACTGCTCACACTTCCCTTCCCTTTACCCACCTTGCCCTTTGTAAAGCTGAACTCCTGCCATGAAAAAAGGACTACTGATTACCCCTTCACCAGCCTCTTGGCATTCAATCTTTTTTTTTTTTTAATACATTTTTTAAGACCCACATATACTTAACGTATTTTTCACTCCATAAGACGTACCTGACCATAAGACGCGCCTAGGTTTTAGAGGAGAAAAACAAGAAAAAAAATATTCTGAACCAATGGACTTCAGACATAGTATAGGAAATGACCAGAGACTGCAGACAATACAAGAGATGACCAGAGACTGTGGACTTAGTACAGGAAATTACCAGAGACTGCGGACATAGTACAGGAGATGACCAGAGACTGCGGACATAGTACAGGAGATGAGCAGAGACTGCGGACATAGTACAGGAGATGACCAGAGACTGCGGACACAGTACAGGAGATGTCCAGAGACTGCAGACACAGTACGGGAGATGACCAGAGACTGCGGACACAGTACAGGAGATGACCAAAGACTGCGGACACAGTACAGGAGATGACCAGAGACTGCGGACACAGCACAGGAGGTGACCAGAGACTGCGGACACAGTACAGGAGATGACCAGAGACTGCGGACACAGTACAGGAGATGACCAGAGACTGCGGACACAGCACAGGAGGTGACCAGAGACTGCAGGCACAGTACAGGAGATGACCAGAGACTGCGGACACAGTACAGGAGATGACCAGAGACTGCGGACACAGTGCAGGAGATGACCAGAGACTGCGGACACAGTACAGGAGATGACCAGAGACTGCGGACACAGTACAGGAGATGACCAGAGACTGCGGACACAGTACAGGAGATGACCAGAGACTGCGGACACAGTACAGGAGATGACAGAGACTGCGGACACAGTACAAGAGATGACTAGAGACTGCGGACACAGTACAGGAGATGACCAGAGACTGCGGACACAGTACAGGAGATGACCAGAGACTGCGGACACAGTACAGGGGATGACTAGAGACTGCAGACAGTACAGGGAATGACCAGAGACTGCAAACAGTACAGGAAATGACCAGAGACTGCAAACAGTACAGGAGATGACCAGAGACTGCAGACAGTACAGGGGATGACCAAAGAGACTGCAGACTTTTAGGGAGGGAGGGGGAGCGGGTAGCTAAAATTGATAGGTACCCGCTCCCACTTCCACGGAGTTGTCCTCCCTTTACTGTGGGCACCCCAGACCATTCACAAAGCGCAGTGCTTCTCTCACATGCGCAGTGGGCAACCGGCTGTCACAGATGCCGGCGCGGGAAGACTTTATAGTGCTGGACCGAGGTACAGGTAAGGTCCTGCAGCAGAGAACAGCTGAGCGGCCGGCCCGGTATTCTGACATGGTAGTGGCGGAAATACCGGACCGGTATTTGTAAACCCTTAAATATATGCAGTAAAGGGCCTCAGGTGATACACAGAGATGAAACAAATCTTCCTACATGAGTTGTACCCGTTTATGTGCAGCCATTTAAAGTGCAGAATTTATACAACTGGTCAGAGATGTCAGAAAAAAGGGGGCAGAGAGTTGAAATTACACACTGCAGAGCTCAATGAGGAGACCTCTGAGAGCTGACTGGAGGGAAGAGACACACCCTCTCCACACAGTAACAGAGTAGAGGCTGTCAATCTGCTGTAGGTCGCTCCCCTGTCACCATTTTTCTCTTGGTGTCAGGAAAACTTGTTAGAAGTGATTCATGCTCATAGCACAGGAATGAAGCAGTAGACAGAAATTATACTTAGTGCTCTTAACTGAGACAAGTACACACTATAGAGGGATAGGCCCTCGAACCCCTCGTGTATCGCATTGTATTGTGTTATTGTACTGTCGCATGTTCTGTCTCCCATTGTAATGTACAGCGCTGAGCGAACTGTTGGCGCTTTTATAAATACTGTATAATAATAATAATAATCATAATATACTTTGTTCATATTGCTAAATGGTTAGCACTTCTGCCTGGCAGCACTATGGTCATTGGTTCGAATCCCAGCCACAGCACCACCTGCCTGGAGTTTGCATGTTCTCCCTGTGCCAGCGTGGGTTTCCTCCGGGTACTCCGGTTTCCTCCTACACTCCAAAAACATGCTAAAAGGTTAATTGGCTCCTGTCTAAATTGTCCCTAGTGTGTGTATGTATGAATGTGAGTTAGGGACCTTAGATTGTACACCCCTTGAGGGTTAAGGACTGATGTGAATGTACAATATATATGTAAAGTGCTGTGTAAATTGACGGCGCTATATAAGTACCTGAAATAAAATATTTCACGTCTGAGGTTTACAACCACTTTAACCCGCAGTCACATGATATCCAGCATCCTAGTGTGGACAGGTACTCCTGGCACACCCCACCCTGATGACGTGGATGATGATGATGCTGCCCTGTTGTTTGGAAAACACTCAGTTAGTCCTGCACTGATTACAGGACTACCATGATGATGTTGATGGGAAGGGTGGCAACAAGGCCATCAGCTGTGCAGAGACCCACATACAGAGCAGCATCAGATGACTAGTCGCAGCAATGGGAGCCTGCCATGCAAGTGATCACATGACCACAGGTTATGTGTATGGGGGCTTAGAAATATTATTTTGCAATTAATCAATACAGAGTATCAAGGAGACACACACTGTATCCATCGGGGAGCAATACTGTCAGCCTAGAACAGGACCTACTGGACACCTCACCCTCTCCTCCTCCTCCTCATTACATGGGGGAAGGTGTTCTATAGTCCACATGCTAACCGATAATAGTCAGCACAGGATGTTATCAGCTCTGGCAGAATCAACAGGTTTTTTGTATATATATTGAACAAATATAACAAAAGGCTGTCAGCAGTTAACAGACCAAAAGGAAGCAAATTCATTTTTTAATGCCCATGTGTCAACAACTCCTTGAACTTGGCCCCTCCAGTGACCCAGAACAGTACAATGCAGCCACCACTGTTTGCCCTGCGTCCTCCCAGCACAGACTCCAGCGGAGGCATAAACACCGCCCCATAGACTGGGTCCTTGTGCCCGCCGAAGGACAGCGGACATCAGTGCCATGTGCTGCAGCGAGTGACCACAACACTGACATGCCAGCTGAGGCCAGAGCTATTTTTGTGGAATGACCATCCCCAGTCTTAACTCTTCTAATGTTTTAAAAGAGCATTCCTGGCATATCACACTCACGCCCTTTGTGCTCTAAGCTGGGCCTAGTCCAAGATAAGCCTTGGTCAGCGGCTGGAGATCACTCACTCCACCAAAACACAACACAGTGATGCAAGAGGAGGAAAGTAACCCCTTCCCTGCTGCAGGGATATGCCCACAACATTCCTTCCTGGTAGCAATGAGGAGACAGTGATGACGGGGAAATGAGATAATATGACAAAAGAAAGAAGATTCTACGGGAGAAAATTTAAAAATAATATTACAAAAAACTATGCAATGCTGCAGTGATGTCACAGGACAGTAGAGAATGGATGAGCAGTGTGTCATGTGATGGACTTGACAGGCTGCGTTCTTATATTGCTGCTTGTCTCTAGGGACCGGCTGCATCCCTGTGTTGTCACTGGTCTCTAGGGACCGGCTGCATCCCTGTGTTGTCACTGGTCTCTAGGGACCGGCTGCATCCCTGTGTTGTCACTGGTCTCTAGGGACCGGCTGCATCCCTGTGTTGTCACTGGTCTCTAGGGACCGGCTGCATCCCTGTGTTGTCACTGGTCTCTAGGGACCGGCTGCATCCCTGTGTTGTCACTGGTCTCTAGGGACCGGCTGCATCCCTGTGTTGTCACTGGTCTCTAGGGACCGGCTGCATCCCTGTGTTGTCACTGGTCTCTAGGGACCGGCTGCATCCCTGTGTTGTCACTGGTCTCTAGGGACCGGCTGCATCCCTGTGTTGTCACTGGTCTCTAGGGACCGGCTGCATCCCTGTGTTGTCACTGGTCTCTCTAGGGAATGGATAGGCTGCATTCCTGTGTTGTCACTGGTGTCTAGGGAATGGACCGGCTGCATCCCTGTGTTCTCACTGGTCTCTAGGGAATGGACAGGCTGCATCCCTGTGTTGTCATTGGTCTCTAGGGAATGGACAGGCTGCATCCCTGTGTTGTCACTGGTCTCTAGGGAATGGACCGGCTGCATCCCTGTGTTGTCACTGGTCTCTAGGGAATGGTTAGGCTGCATCCCTGTGTTGTCACTGGTCTCTAGGGAATGGTTAGGCTGCATCCTTGTGTTGTCACTGGTCTCTAGGGACTGGACCGGCTGCATCCCTGTGTTGTCACTGGTCTCTAGGGAATGGTTAGGCTGCATCCCTGTGTTGTCACTGGTCTCTAGGGAATGGACCGGCTGCATCCCTGTGTTGTCACTGGTCTCTAGGGAATGGTTAGGCTGCATCCCTGTGTTGTCACTTGTCTCTAGGGAATGGTTAGGCTGCATCCTTGTGTTGTCACTGGTCTCTAGGGAATGGACCGGCTGCATCCCTGTGTTGTCACTGGTCTCTAGGGAATGGATAGGCTGCATTCCTGTGTTGTCACTGGTGTCTAGGGAATGGACCGGCTGCATCCCTGTGTTCTCACTGGTCTCTAGGGAATGGACAGGCTGCATCCCTGTGTTGTCATTGGTCTCTAGGGAATGGACAGGCTGCATCCCTGTGTTGTCACTGGTCTCTAGGGAATGGACCGGCTGCATCCCTGTGTTGTCACTGGTCTCTAGGGAATGGTTAGGCTGCATCCCTGTGTTGTCACTGGTCTCTAGGGAATGGTTAGGCTGCATCCTTGTGTTGTCACTGGTCTCTAGGGACTGGACCGGCTGCATCCCTGTGTTGTCACTGGTCTCTAGGGAATGGTTAGGCTGCATCCCTGTGTTGTCACTGGTCTCTAGGGAATGGACCGGCTGCATCCCTGTGTTGTCACTGGTCTCTAGGGAATGGTTAGGCTGCATCCCTGTGTTGTCACTTGTCTCTAGGGAATGGTTAGGCTGCATCCTTGTGTTGTCACTGGTCTCTAGGGAATGGACCGGCTGCATCCCTGTGTTGTCACTGGTCTCTAGGGAATGGACCGGCTGCATCCCTGTGTTGTCACTGGTCTCTAGGGAATGGACAGGCTGCATCCCTGTGTTGTCACTGGTCTCTAGGGAATGGACAGGCTGCATCCCTGTGTTGTCACTGGTCTCTAGGGAATGGATAGGCTGCATCACTGTGTTGTCACTGGTCTCTAGGGAATGGACAGGCTGCATCCTAGTGTTGTCACTGGTCTCTAGGGAATGGATAGGCTGCATCACTGTGTTGTCACTGGTCTCTAGGGAATGGATAGGCTACATCCTTGTGTTGTCACGGGTCTCTAGGGAATGGATAGGCTGCATCCCTGTGTTGTCACTGGTCTCTAGGGAATGGACTGGCTGCATCCTAGTATTGTCACTGGTCTCTAGGGAATGGACCGGCTGCATCCCTGTGTTGTCACTGGTCTCAAGGGAACGGACCGGCTGCATCCTTGTGTTGTCACTGGTCTCTAGGGAATGGACAGGCTGCTTTCCTGTGTTGTCACTGGTCACTAGGGAATGGACTGGCTGCATCCTTGTGTTGTCACTGGTCACTAGGGAATGGATAGGCTGCATCCCTGTGTTGTCACTGGTCACTAGGGAATGGACAGACTGCATCCCTGTGTTGTCACTGGTCTCTAGGGAATGGACCGGCTGCATCCCTGTGTTGTCACTGGTCTCTAGGGAATGGATAGGCTGCATCCTTGTGTTATCACTAGACTCTAGGGAATGGACCGGCTGTATCCCTGTGTTGTCACTGGTCTCTAGGGAATGGACCGGCTGCATCCTTGTGTTG